ACCCCACTTTACTCCCCGACCAATCAAGTACCTCCCCTCTTTGTTCCTTAACCTTCCCTATAAAACTTTCCTGGGTGGCCATAACAGCACGACTTCCCTGGCCTGAACCCCTGGACCAGTGAACCTCGCCTGGGAGTACTCCAGTAAAACTTTCTTGCCCGCTTTTGCAGCTCCATTTCTCTTTCTTCCTCAGCCAGAAACCTTATACCCGTGATATTAAGGTTTATAATACAACTTAACTCTACCAGATTACAAGCCCTATTAGTATTCCAGGAATAGTGCCTTACTTACTCTAGACACCACTGCAATTTCCTTCTGTGCCCAGGCCACATTGTTTCTCTGAGAGACAGCAAGGATCATTTGAATCTCAAAGAAAATTCTGCCCTTCTTGAGTTGGAAGTAGGTAAAGAAGAAAACCTACCCCCCTACCCCTTAAAGAATTCAGAGCCAAAAATCCCTGAAAGGGATAATGACATAATAAGCAGGTAGACAGGAGTACGTAACAATAGGCGAGGTATAGGTTTCCAGGGTGGAAAGTCCCAGATGACTAGCAATGGGGAAAAGAAGTATTGTAGGTTGAAATCTTGCACCAAGGGTGACCTTGCCTTCCCTAGTAAATTGCTGACCATGTTTTTCCCCGAGTTTTACATCCCTGTTTTTTTTGTGTGTGTTTTTTTATCCTCACCTGAGGACATTTTTTTGCTTGAGACAGAGCGGGAGGGAGAGAGAGAAACATCAATATGAGAGAGACACATCAAATGGCTGCCAACCACATGACCCCAACCGGGGGCCGGAACCAAGGTACATGCCCTTAGCAAGAACCAAACCCAGGCCTCTCTCGTCTGCGGGCCGATGCTCTAATCACTGAGCCAAACCAGCCAGGACCATATCCCTGATTATATGTTTCAGACCCTCCATGACATTTCCTCCCCTAGCATGATCCTAGTCATATGGTAGAGCCCCTTAAAGAAGAAATAAGTGGGCCTGAGAATAGCTTCATGACTCCCATACAAGACCTTACACAACCACTGCCTCAAGCATTAAACCCTCTGGACAATGAGGTTAAGGTCCACATCAAATAATCTTACAAAGTCATCACCCTGGCCGGTTTGGCTCAGCGGTTAGAGCGTCGGCCTGCGGTCCTGAGAGACCCGGGTTCGGATCCCGCTCAGGGCGCATACCTCGGTTGCAGTTTGTCCCCCACCCTGGTTGGTCGTGCGGATGGCAGCCACTTGATGTGTTCCTTTCACATCGATGTTTCTCTCTCTCTCTCTCTCTCTCTCTCTGTTCCTCTCTCTCCCTCCCACTCTACCTGAACAAAAAACGGAAAAATGTCCTCGGGTGAGGATAAAAAAACAAACAAACAAAGTCATGGGTCTACTGACCAAATAGACAGTTTTGGTCAAACCAGAGATAGAACATCTAGGCCTCAGTTGTGATTCAGCTCCATGCTCGGCAAACAGTAACGCCAAATGAAGTATCCCTATGGCTAACATGGCCACAATGACTATGACCCCCTTATCTGATTGCTGACCAATTGTTAGAGTCTTAGAGTCTGAGAGGGCCCCGAGTCTCCCAGAGGCCCTCACAGCCAAACAAAGGGCCAAAGAAAATTTTCCACTTGTCTCCTAGTTAAACTTCCTCCCTTTCCTAGCAATCTTACAAGGACATCCTGAGAGCATCTTGAGCCTTGAGAAAACCATCTGCAGGGTGTACATGCCAAGAATGCTTCTGCAAGGCCAGCTAACCGCTGATATCCGCTTCTGTACATCCTGCTTGCTTGCAATTTGCACCACAAGCCCCCTATAAAACTCAGCCATTTTAGTTTCTCGGGGTTGCTGCTCTCGGCTGCGTCTGTAGACGGCAGACCCTGCATGCAGGCTTTAGCTTAATAAAGCATTTTCAAACCTAAAGGATTGAGTCTGAGTGTGGTCGATCTCCTGGGTTACAACACATTCAGTAGACCAAAGGACTTACCTGGAAAGCTGATGAATATTCTACTGAGATCTCCAAATAAAAACACTTAAGATGAAGGATCCAGGTGCTCTTTTTCTCTGTGACGCATCCAAGCCTTTCCCCACCTTTTATCTCTCAGGCATGCTCTCTCTATAGAGAACACCCTTACATTTCCTCCCGTTTCCCCCTCCAGCAGCCCTTTTTTGCCTCTGTAACTGGTTTCATGAGTTCACACAGCCCAGGTGATTCACTTGCTTTACCTCTGTGACTTTCTAAGTAAATTTTCTCTTATAATTAGAGTTCTTGATTCTGAATTTTTTTCAAGCCAAACTTAAGGACTGAGGTGTGAATTCTAACATTGGGGGCTGCTCACTGTTAACAATAGGATTAGAAGGAAAGACTACTTTCATTTTAATTGGAATAATCAGAGTAGATGTAATTGGAGTATTTACTCAAAGAAGAGGAACTAGACTAAAGAAAGCCTTGTAGACCCTTATAAGTTTGACCGAGAAACAGAAAAGAGCTACCATATAATTTAACAGTTAAACTGCTGGATCAATAATGGAATTTAGACAAACAAGGGTAGAAACAACATGGGTAAGAAGACTGCAGCAATAATGCAGAATAGACAATGGTGGTGTAGACAAAGCAAAGTGCAAACCTAAAGGAAGGCCAAAGTTTATTTTGGCCTTGGGCTGAGAACCTGGCCTAGAAGAAAATGTAAAAGGAGAAAATGCTCTGTAGAAAGGTATTCTTACAATTTTTGTATATATTTAAAATCAGCCTGTGCAGTGTGGCTCACTGGTTTAGTGTTGACACATGCACCAAGAGGTCATCAGTTTGATTCCTGTTTGGGGCATCTGCCCAGGTGGTGGGCCTAATCCCCAGTGAGGGACTTGCAGAAGGTGACCAATTGATGTTCTCTCTTATCGATGTTTCTAACTCTCTTTCCCACTCCCTTCCTCTCTCTCTAAAATTAATTAAAAAATATATTAAAAAACAAATAAATAAAATCAAAGTTGAAAATGTAAGGATGATTACATGAAATCCACTGGTGGTAAATTAAAAAGGTGAAGTACAGAAATCTCTATTGTTGGATAAAAGTAAAATGGAGAAAAATTTCTACGTTAGTACAGGATACTAACATTTATAGTACATAAAAACAGTATGTGTGCAACAAGATAACAATGAGTTTTATGTTCCCAGAGGGTGTTTTTAAGGTGCCTGGAAAAGAAAATAAGTCTATTTTAAAGGTATGTTATCTTAGATACACGAGTACAATAAATAGGACTCACTTAAAGTAAAGATTCTTTTACTAGGGAAACTATATATTGGCATGATCCAATTTCCCCCGTCTCCTAAATTATACCTCTCTTGCATGTTCACTTCTCTCTCAGGAAATGACAACTCCATTTTTCCAGTTGCTCCACCAGAAACCTTACTGCAAATCATTGAGTCCGTCCTTAAACCTACATCCAAAAAAATCCTGATGGTTCTACCATCAAAATACATCTTAACCTTTTACTAGGGAAACTATAGGCCTAGGACATGTCTACCTCCATGACCTGTCCAGTTAGAAGATAATGATGATGCCATCCTGTGTGGTTTCTTTTGGTGTAAGTGAATCAGGTCTGCCACGTAAACCTCTGCACTTAAAAGGCCTGCATCACAGCCTCCTTTTTTGTTCATAGTGTCTATACTGAAAATAGTGAGAAGATGTATTTTGATGGTAGAACCATCAGGATTTTTTTGGATGTAGGTATAAGGACGGACTCAATGATTTGCAGTAAGGTTTCTGGTGGAGCAACTGGAAAAATGGAGTTGTCATTTCCTGAGAGAGAAGTGAACATGCAAGAGAGGTATAATTTAGGAGATGGGGGAAATTGGATCATGCCAATTGTGAGATATCGACTGAATTAACTCAGTTTCGGTCTACTAAAAGTATTTTTTTTTTAATTTGGAAAAGATGCCAGGAAACAAAAATCAATCACAACTTTACCATCCAGCATAGATACTTTCAGAATTATTTCATCTCCACTTCTAAACACACTCTGAAAAGGTCTAAATTTACACAAATAAACAAAAAACAACTTCCTGGCAATCTTAAAATTTAAAGTGTGCTTTCTTGCCCCAGCCAGTGTGGCTTAGTGGTTAGTGTTGACCTACAGAGGGATGGGTGGAGGGTTGAATTTCCCCTCAAGGGCATGTACCAGGGTTGCAGGTTTGTCCTGTTTCAACCCTGGCAAGAAGTAAAACAAAGGAGGTGACACATTTGCTGTTTCTCTCACTTTGTTTCTCCGTCCCTCCCACTCTAAAAAAAATATCAATGGAAAAATATCCTGGGGTGAGAATTAACCCCTCTCCCCTCAAAAGGGTAGGTTTTATTGGATCTGCTTTTTAAAAAAAACTTTTTATGGGTGCTCTTATGACATATACTAAATACACTCGGAGTAGAAAAACCTCCAGGAATACTTCCCTTGCACTAAATTTCTGGGAACATAGACTAGGGACTTGAGCTGGGTAACCTTGTAGAGTGCGCTCTACAAGCCGGCAGTCGCCAACCGAGATACTTAAGGCCCGGTTAGCCGGCCTAGCTAGCCCCCTTCCGGTCAGAATATCTAACACAGAGGGGCCTGTGAGCTGACCACTCCTTACTAAATTATGTAAATCAGTGAAGAACATATAAACCCGTCATTGGGCTCTCAAATCTCCAAACTGTCAGGTTCCCGTCATCCCCTCCGGAACAGAAATTGGCCTGTCCCTCCACAAGTACGCAACAGTTACGTCATCCGCCTAGCAAGGGGCCTTTTGTGGGGCTGCCCTTATGTTGCCTGCACAGATAATCAACATGTTTCTTACAACAAATCCCGAAAATTTGCCTCGTATTTGTTAGTCATGCTACCTGCAGTTACTAAACAAACTCAAGGCGAAAGAAGTTCAAGCATTGAGGCCCTGCTGCACTGGACATCTTTTAGCCTTGTTGCTCTTTTCTCCCAGTACTAGGGGACCTGCGGAGGGTCAGGCGCAATCCCAGAAGACTGCCTTCCTCTCTGGGCAAGATGGCGGGGAGCGAGTCTAGTGTGATTCTGGCGCAACCGCATCTTTCTCATCAGGATCTGGCCAACTTGGTAAGGTTTTGATCTGAGAAAAGGCGGTGTGTTTTCCAGGTTGAGGCTTACAGGTTTTCCCGGGAGGCGTTGAAATGAGGTAGAGTAGTGCTGTCGCGAGTTTGGTATTTGTGTGTGAAATCGTATGACCTGGAGTTCCCACAGGAGTCGGCTCGAAAGTAATGTTGTTAAATGTGCTTAAGGTCTTTATTTGTAAAGTTCTGGGAGAAACATTAATTATATATGTTAGGGTTTGTATCTTTAAGATCCTGAAGGGACTGTTTTACACTGTTATCAAAGCAAATTAAAAAATTTGGGGCCTGATCGTTCCAAATCTATAATGGAAGTGATGGTGTATCCTTTGCAAGTAAGTATAAAGGGGCCTTTTCGGACCGATTACTCCTACAATTGTTTCTGGAATAAAGACTATTGATACACAAAAGGTTGTTTGTTTGTTTGTTGTTTTGAAGAGCTTAATAGATAGGCTAAACGTGAAAGCAAAGTCCTAGTTTCTTTGACTGGTGGTAGTTTAAAATATTTTATTGCAGGATGTTACCAAGTTGACTGCTCTCTCACAGGAAATTATCAGCAGGCAAGCCACAATTAACATAGGTAAGAGCAAATGATCGCGTAGAGTTTTACTGTTCTTGAAGCCCTACTTGGTACCCCCCCTAACAATTATTGTTAATCTCTTGAGATAGTAACAAAATTACAGCAGGACACAGATAAGTAATGAATACATTGGAGCACTGATGAACACCTGCTACATTCTCTGGGAAACCATTGTGCTCCATTCTTTTATGCAATATGTGTGACACAAAGACATAGATAAATGAAAAGGCAGTATGTTGGGTGTGCATGTAGCAGAAAGTTAGGTGGTGAAAATGCTTGTTTCACAAGACTATTTTTTCTTTTATTTTTTATTACAGTTAATGTTCAGTATTTTGTTTTACGTTCTGGTCTATAAACTATCTAGAATTATCCTAAAAATGGGGTTTGTAAAATTCTTGTCTCACGTGTAAGCTTTAACTACATACACATTTTTCTTAATTGGCGCCTTTGTAATTTAGAAGAGAAGATAGTGCATTGAATGTAAACTTTGGACATTATTTTAGGGTCTCTACAAACAATAGAACTTACAAAAAATTATAAACCATATACTACCCTTAAAGTATTTAAGTTTCTGTATTATAAATGGGATTGTTTTGTCATTTTCATGGATTTCCTTTTTATTTTTGTGTCAGATTTACATACATATTTACCTCATTCAAAATACTTGAAAGTTTCTTAGTATACAAAATGTTTTGTATTTTTAAGTTAGTGTTTATTTCACAGGAAGGTGATCTTTTTTGAGTTTAACAGCAAGTTGAATAACATGTTACCAGACCTTACACCAAGAGTGGTCACAAAGTGAAATTTATTTGCAGTACATAAGAATCCACAGGGAATCATTTCCACAGCGTGACTCCCCAAAATTGGGAACTTCTGTTTTTATGTTTGAAAGCTCATGCATGTTCATGATGAAATTTTATAAAGACCAAAAAAATACTATTATTGGTTATAGATTCTGTCCATTCATTTCTACCAGTAGTATAAGACTAAAGCGGAACAGACTTTAGGTCAGCGAATGAAAAGGGGTGACCTTATTTTCTAAAAGCATCTTCTCTCCTCAGTTAGGATTTGGGGAAGTTTTAAAGCAACTAGTTGGGTGGGTGGGATTAACAGGTGGGGAGTTCTAAGAAAGAGAAGATTTGGTGTACACACACTCTTGCCAGCATTTGCCACAAAACACAAATTGTGGCTAGTAATGCACATTTTCCTTTCTGGGTATGATTTTTAGTATATTAATTAAGACAAATTTTCAAGAGGGGTTTGGAGGAGCAATTCAGAGCCAGCTGGTTCTGTGCTTGAGCTGTCTTTATATACTGTGGCGAACCATTAGCAGTTCTCTTTAGTTCCTGTAAGCAAGCATGCTTGTGACATAGTTTAGATATTTGGGAACAGTAGCGTCTACTGAATGATAGATTGGTGAATTTCTCAATATTTACAGAGTGTTATGGCTTTTTTTTTTTTTAACTACTGAAATAATAGAATTAGATACATACATATTATTAATATTTTTGTTCTTTGTAGGAACAATTGGTCATGTTGCTCATGGAAAATCTACAGTTGTCAAAGCTATTTCTGGAGTTCACACTGTCAGGTTCAAAAATGAATTGGAAAGAAATATCACAATCAAACTTGGGTATGCTAATGCCAAGGTACAGAATATACTATGGAAGTTGAGACTAGTTTACTTTCATTGTCAGAGATGCAGATGATAAATTCAGTCTTTTCATTGAAACTTTTAGATTTATAAACTTGATGATACAAGTTGTCCTCGGCCAGAATGCTATAGATCCTGTGGAAGCAGTACACCTGATGAGTTTCCTACAGACATTCCCGGGACCAAAGGAAACTTCAAATTAGTCAGGTGATTATTTTTGTGCTAAACATACTTTTTTGTCTTGTGCTTGTTGAACTATTTAATGGAGCTGTTAAATGGTAATTTAAACCTAAGCTTGTTGGAGATGCATTTTGCCTAAATATGGGTAAGACACTTTGAAGAACACTTCCTGACTAAGAAATTTAGTTTGCAATACTTGCTTAATAACTTTTTTAGGTGTGTATTATTATATTTATAATAAAGATAAATTTAAAAGCCAATTATTTAAACCTAGGCTAAAATATAGATGTACAGGTTTTCTATAAAGATTTGCCATAAATTCTGAATGAAGTCATTACATTTGGTAGTTTTGTTTTTTCAGGTTTCTTTTGTTTGCAATATTGCTTCTTGTTTCTTAGGTAGTAGGAAAGTATAGGCATTCTTAATTCTTTTTAATACTTTGGATTTTGGTATGTCATTACATGTCTTGATTTTCATAAGAGATCACTGACTTACACCATATGATATAAGTGGGTGTTAGGATTTGCCAAGGAAGGTTTAGAACATGTGGGACACCAACATATAACTTTTGAAAAGGTGATTGATACATATTGTCTTTTCATTTTCTTGATTTTAAGTGCTGCCTTCTGTGCACTGGGTTAGCATTTCAACTAGTTTTTTAAGATGCTAGAAATTCTTTAGCAAATCCTTTGTTATGACAGTTACCATTCTGATAGTATAGTTGTGTGCTTTTTTTTTTTCTCCCTAAAGTAATCTAATTTACTTCAACTGATCACACTCTTAACTCCCATGAAAGTGTATCTAAAATTTCTTCAGCTACTTTATTTTCTATAAGTTTTAAAGCCTTAAAAACCAAAATCACTCAGAATTTATTTTATTCATTTTGTGTTGCATAATAATTTTTAAAAATATGTTTCTATTGATTTTTTTTAAAGAAAGAGGAAGAGAGGGAGAGAGAAACCTCGAAGTGAGAGAGAATTGTCCATGGGCTACCTCCTGCATGCCTGCTACTGGAGATGGAGCCTGAAACCTGAATATGTGTCCTTACCTCTCAGTCCATGTGATGGATGACTCTCCATCCACTGAGCCACACTGGCCTGGCTGCATAATAATTTTTTATTTTAAATATACCTAAATTTATAAATATTTTCACATGTAATACTATCTTTCTATATACAACTCTTGTTCTATCTTTTTTCTTTTTTTCTTTTTTTTATTGATTTTAAAGGGAGAGGAAGAGAGAGAAACATCAATGAGAGAGAACATCAATTGACTACCTCCTTCTTGCTCCCCACTGGGGATTAGGCCCACAAACTGGGCATGTGCCGACTGGGAATCGATCTGGCAACCTCTTGGTGCATGGGTTGATGCTCAACCACTGAGCCACACTGTCCAGGCTATATTTTTGCATTTTTAGTTTGAAATAATTATAGACTCACAGGAATTGCAAAGGTAGTATATGCCCTGACAATATCAAGTGGAATAGAGGGAATACTGCACAAGTAAGTATACAGCACAGATAAATGCACTGATTCCTCAAAAATCTATAATACCACAACTATCCCAATACAGATAACCTAATTTAAGTAGCCCTATAGCTATTAAAACAGTGGTTCTCAACCTGTGGGTCGCGACCCCTTTGTGGGTCGACCCTTTTCACAGGGGTCGTCTAAGACCATTGGAAAACACTTATTTCTGATGGTCTTAAGAACTGAGACACCACTCCTCTGTCCATCTCCAGGCAGGTACGCTCACATGCAGATACAACCACATACAGCATGAGGAACTGTATTAAAGGGTTGGGGCATTAGGAAGGTTGAGAACCACTGTATTAAAGTAATTGATTTTGTATTTTTAAAATTTTTGAGAAAGAAATCTCCCAGGCCCAGATGGTTTCAACATGGACTGCTCTTAAACATTAAATAAGAGCTAATGTGGATCAGAAACAATAGAAAAGGAGAAAGTAGTTAACAACTCATCTTATGGAGCAAATAATCTGCGCTGTTTGCAAAAGCAAACATCCCCTCCTCCTAAAAAAAAGAATAGGAAAAAACTACAGCCTAGTATCTTGAATGAATATAGACTCCAAAATGTTAGCACATAGAATTTAACAATGTCTAAAAGTTGTTTATACGTGTGTGTGTGTGTATCGAACAAACAGGAATTTATTATAGGGATACAAGATTGATTTAGTGTTTTATGAAAGGGCTCTGTATGCATATATCCTGACAATATTAAATAGGATGTAAAATGCAAAGTAACATCCAAATGTCAAAGGAGCTGAGAAGCCAAAGAATGATACAGAGAAGTTCAGCTTGTTGATTTAAAGAGTTTTAATAGGGAATTTATTTTCAGAGACTCAGCCCTGGAAGGCAGCAAGACAAAATGAGTTCCTCATGCCTTTCACCCACACAGACCATGTGTTATATATCCCTCTAAGACCTATGTATTCAGAAAGGAATGCAAGGCTAATGATGGGAACTAGAGAGACCATATAACCATGAGTCTTGCTCCAGGGTGAGTTAAACATTGAGGATGCCTTGACCCAGAAGAAGAGCTAAACAGTGTAAGAAGTGTTGATGGTGGTTTGTGATTAATCTGAAACCTCTGAACATTCCATAGTCCATGGAGATGGGGAAGTACAGTGGTTTAGGTGGATTTGTTTTTTAATGAACTCGGCCTTTTAGATGAAGTCAGTATTGTCTACACATTTAGTACTTTCACATTGTTTATTTTTATTCTCCTATAGAAAAAACATTCCATATTTTTGTAAACGAAAAAATTTTACTATGATAACTAGGAATACAGGTGAATTTTTTCAACTTGAAAAAAAACTGTTAAACAAAACTTCACCTAAACTGAAAATGGTGAAAGAATAAATGTTTTGTCTTAAGCTCAGAAAGAAAGAAAGAAGATCTTCTCTCCCCACTTACACTTAGTACTAGAAGTTCTGTCATAGGACAGAAGAAGGTAGTCTTTCCAAATTGAAAGAGAAACCTGCATTTGTAGATGGTATGATTACGTAGGAATTTCCAAGGTACCTACAGCAATCTTAAGTTTATCTGGATTGTAGGGTACCAGGTCAGTATACCAAAATTAATTGCATTTCTTTATACTAGCAGAGAACACATACACACCAAAATATTTTATACTCTTAATTAAATCTCTCAAAAAGATAAAATACTAGATGTAAAACACATAGAGAACTTGTTCTCTGAAAATTACACAGCTCAGAAAGAAGTCGAAGATCTAGAGATACTGTGTTCATAGGCTGGAAAAATCGACGTAGTAAAGAGGCTTATTCTCCTCAAATTGATATATAGGTTTAATGCAATACCTATCAAAATCACAGCAAGGTTTTTTATTTGTATTGATAAAATTAAAACTTATTTGGAAGAAGGAGCTAGATCTACAACAATTTTATATAAAAAATAAGTAGCAAAAATTGGTTTACCTGAAAACTTACGTAGCTACAGCAATAATGGCTGGCGATGGGATGGCTCCATCAGTGCAACAGACTAAGAGAATTCAGAAATAGACTTGTTTATATATGTCCACTGATTACAAACAAAACAAATCAGTTTTGTGGAGCATAGGTGTTTTTGTTCAGCAAACAGTACTACAGCAATTGAATGTTCATAGGCAAAAAGAAAAAATAGTATACATTTATTAATCCTCACCCAAGTATATTTTTTAGTTAGTTTTTAGATAGGGTGGAAGGGAGGGAGAAAGAGAGAGACATTGATATGAGAGAGACACATTGATTAGTTGCCTCCCACATGACCCAACAGGGGTCAGGGATTAAACCTGCAATCCAGGTATGTGCCCTTGACTGGGAATTAAACCTGGCCTATGGTCTGAGAGCTGATGACTGTAACCACTGAGCCAAAACGGCCAGGGCAAAAAAAATATAGGTTTAAACCTGGCATCTTATATTTAAAAAATACACTTTTTATTCGATATTTGTGTATTCTCATACATTTTGAGTGCATAATTAAAATATACACACATTTCAGTATTAAATGGATCAATTAAAGCTATCTTTTAGAAGAAAATGCACCCAGCTGGTATTGCTCAGTGGTTGAGCATCAACCCATGCACCAAGAGGTCACTGATTTGATTCCCTGTCAAGGCAGATACTCAGCTTGTGGGCCACAACCCCAGTGGGGGGCATGCAGGAGGCAGCCAGTCGATTTCTCTCTCATCAATGTTTCTATTTCTTTCTTCCTAAAATCAATAAAAGCATATTTGTGGGGGGAAAAGTTCTAAAAATAATCTACAGAGGAATAGGCAATAGTTGCAAATCACATCTCCAATAAAGGACTGAAATATTTAAAGAACACAGAAAAATCCAACAGTTAAAAAATAAATGTTCTGTTCAGCCAGTGTGGCTCAGTGGTTGAGCGTTGACTCGTGCATCAAGAGGTCGCCAGTTAGATTCCCGGTCAGGGCACATGCCCAGATTGTGGGCCAAATCCCCAGTGAGGGGAAAGCAGGAGGTGGCCAGTCAATGTTTTCTCTCATTAATGTTTCTCCCTCTCCCTTTCTCTCTAAAAATCAATAAAATAAATAAAAAGAAAAGAAATGTTCCAACTAGAACATGGACAAAAATACATGAAGAGCATAATATGGTAAGAAACTAAACAGTTCTCTAGTTAATTAGTATACATTTTATAAAGTTTATATTTAATTTTCCTTGGATTTGAGTGTTTTCCCAAGTTGACTAGAGTCTTATCTTTAGATAATTTTACAGTCTTTTCTCATAGCAAATTTTTATCTGCTTTGTAATGGTTTTGAAATAATTTAATTTTAACTGGTAATCTGACTTCAAAATTTTTGAACCATCAAGCTTTATAGCTACTTTAGAGCAAGATTAATTACTTCTGTGGTGGTTTAACTTTAAGAAGTCTATATATTTAAGTATAATTGTCCTGAAATCTGTTATATCTTGATTGTTAGACATGTTTCCTTTGTTGATTGTCCTGGCCATGATATTTTGATGGCTACTATGCTGAATGGTGCAGCAGTGATGGATGCAGCTCTTCTGTTGATAGGTAAATAATATCAGACTTGTTTGAAAACTCAGTGCAAAGTCAATCTAAGATGAAATATTTAAAGATAACTAGGGTTTTTACTGGTCATACATGGGAAGTAACAGGTCATCCAAATTAACATCTGTATCTGCCTATAAAATACTAATAAGGCAGGTGAACCTTGAGCTGATATCTTGAGAATTCAAATGTAGTATGCAGTATATATAGTTATATATTCAACAGTGCATATTTACTATTGTTTCTCTTTAGAATTTTTTTTTTTTTTTTTTTGGTACATGCCCCTATTGGGAACTGAATCTGGGACTCTCTAGTCCGCAGTCTGATGCTCCAACTGCTGAGCCAAACCGGCCAGGGCCAGAATTTTTAATATAGAAGTATGGGAGGGTAGTTAATTTTTAATATCTCTGGGCTATCCACAGCAATACCCACATCGTGGTTTTCTCTAGATACAGATCTCATTTGTATGAAAAACTAAAGTCAAAGCCTGCATGGATGCTTTCAAAGCTAGGGTTATGTTTTCTGCTATATTTAAGTTAAGAGATTTTGTTATTGGAGGTTACATGGAGTTTGGGGTTAAATGTAAAATTAGAGGTGCTGTCTTCAAACAAGATTACCTGTACCTCTGACACCCACTACAAGTTCAGTGAGTTCTTCAAATCATCATTAGGTTTGATCATTTGACTGACCTCACTGAAAGCTGAATGCTCACAGTTACGATTTATTACAGAAAAAGGATGCAGGTTAAAGTCAGCTAAGGGAAGAGATGCAAAGGGTAGAGTCCAGGAGTTAAAAACATGTAGTTTTTTATTGTCCTCTCTCTGGGGAGGCAGGGATTACTCTCAGTTTCAGTATGTAACATTACACATTAGACATTGCCAATCAGGGAATCTCACCTGAGTGTCAGTATGCAGAGTTTTAATTGAGGTTGCATTATATAGTCATAGGTGAGAGAGTGTTCGATTGATAGGTTTGGTCCCTAAAGGACTAAGACCTCATGTTCCCAATCTCTCCCTCTAAAATCATATTGCTCTTTCTATTTCGGCTAGCCTCTATTCAAAGACAAGTATGATAGCCATACTAACTCTGGTGTAGTCAGCCTTGCCCTGAGTAAAGACTTTCCTATCAGAGAGTATATGGTTTATCTTTAAGAACCCCAAGGCCAACTGCTAGATCCTTTTTGAGCCAGGCCAGATGCTTTACTACACAGATTGTACTTTTTTGATTGTACATGGTACAAATTACAACTTGGGGAAAATAATCATTGGGGTACTAAATAAAACATACTTCTTTATATAACTCTTTTTTAAGATAGTGTTTTTCCCCTTTGTTAGTAAATAACTGTAAAACAAGGAATGGCAGAAACTAATAACGTAGAATAGCTAACATTTAATTACTATTTCTGTGACACGGGAGTTTTCTTGTATCTGGCCGAAGGACTTAGGTTACAGTAATCAGACAGTAGTTTTGTCAGGATTTATCTGGGATTGAAGAATCTGCTTTTATACAGGTGGACCCTATAAGGCTTATAATATCTGTACTGGCTAACATTACATGCCTCACCAAATTAGCCTGACCAAATATAGCAGGCTAATTTTTAACTTGCTAGTTTTGTATGGCCCACAAATGATATTATAAATATTCACTTGAGAGAAGAAAGGTCCCTCCACTTTGGAGGCTTAAACATTTATTCGTCCTCATATGGGCCTCCATAAATTGCCCAACTGTCCTTTTGTCATAACACCTGTTTTAACAGAGACAAAGAGCTTTCAAGTTGGAACCCAGAGCCTCTGTAACTTGAGAAATGACATCTCATCACTTTGCAGTATTTTTTTCTTTGAAATTAAATTATTAGACCTATTCCATATTAAAGGGAAGCATTTCACAAGGATGTGAATGGGGATCATTAGGGGCCATCTTTGTGATCTACATTCTTAGGCTTGAGTAATTATAAATTAGATTATATTAAGCAACTTTCCCTCTGAAATATTGTGGAGCTGGACAGTGCCAGAAATATTGTGGAGCTGGACAGGGCCAGAATCATTACCAATGATAATGAAGTGACATTGAATCCTAAAGACTGGATAAACCAGAAGAATATGTGTTATGCCTGAATAAAAGCTGTGAGTAGACTTGAAAGAGGCCACATTTCATTATTCTTAGCATTGTGCTCAGGACTAGGAATAGGAGTTTAAAAGACTGGGAGAATCCACCAAGATGGAGTATAAAGGACATAAAAAAAAACAACACTTGGTAGTGGTAACCAGGGCTTTGAGAAAGACATCCAAAATTTATTAGAGCCAGGCAGAGAAGACAAGTATCACATGAAATTACTTCTTTGTGGAATATAATGAACAAAAATAAGCTGATGAACAGAATAGATCCAGAGACATGAAAGTAGGGAACGGATTGACAAACCTCAGAGGGAAAGGGGCTAGGAGGTGAAAGATAAAACAAAGAACTTATATGAATATATGCATAACCAATGGGCACAAGACAACAGTGTGGTGAAGGCAGAGAGAACAGGAGTGGGGAGTAGGGTGTCAATGGTGAAAACAGAAGAAACATCTGAAATACTTTCAACTGTAAAGATTTTTTTTTAAAAGCCAAAAAAAATTCTATTAAATAGATACCAGCTAATTTTTATTACACGTCTTATTTAATTTATTTTTTATTTTTCATCATCGATATAGCTGGTAATGAATCTTGTCCTCAACCTCAGACTTCTGAACACCTGGCTGCCATAGAAATTATGAAACTGAAACATATTTTGATTCTACAAAATAAAATAGATTTAGTAAAAGAAAGTCAGGCTAAAGAACAGGATGAACAGATTCTTGCATTTGTACAAGGTAAGAAGGTATAATATTTAATAAATGTAAGAATCACTTTGAGAGGCATTTAATCTTTTTTGTTTTGTTAATGTAGATATTTTACCATTGATTTTTAGATAGTGAGGGAGGGAAGGAGGGAAAGAGAGAGAAACATGGATGTGAGAGGGACACAATGATTGGCAACCCAGGTACATGCCCTTGACTGGTAATCAAGCCTGAGACCCTTCTATTTGCTCCATCGCTCTACCACTGAGACAAACTGGTCAGAGTTAATCCAGAAAACGTTAGACTGGATTTATGAGTTGTAAACCCTATTATTTCTCTGAACTACTTAACAGCTTTCTTGCTTTTAGCCATTTGATAGGAGTGAAATGTTTCTGAACACAAAAACCATATTACCTAGAAAAGTTATATTCTACTAACATTAACAGTTGCATTGGTTTTTAAAAACATTGCTTTTTAAAAGTACAATATAACAAATTTTTTATCAGATAATAAATATGTGGAAAACGTCACAAATGTGCATTTCATCCTTTTCATAGTGTGCACGCTAATCTTCTCTTTACTGTTTCATTTTTAGTATATGTACTACCAAAGCGAGTGCCAATTAGATGTTTATAATATCTTACCAATGATAGTGAAGTGAATACGACATATTTTTTGCTTTCTAATTATTTTGAATCTTCTCAATGTCTGCCTATTTCCAGAACTGAAACCAGCGATGAGTTCTTTCATGTATACAGTGTCTTGTTTTTTTATTTTAGTTGTTAGAAATACTGGCTCTGTTCGCTACATTACATGGTGTAGAAAAGAAAGTGTACAACATAAGATCTTTTTTTCAGTTTGGTCAACTTCGTGGACTAACTTGTTTGACTTTTAATTCATAAAAAGCAAATTTGTGTTTGGTAGGAATTTTTGATTAGCAGTGGGTCTGTAATTTTCTCTTGATGTGTATTGGGGTATCAGGTACTTTATTGGAAATCTTTTGAGCTATCAAAATTTTTTCCTAGTAATGCAAATATTTATTTTTTTAACAGTTTTATTTTATTATAAATATTAATCTAACTTTAGAGTGTTCAATTTTAGAAGGAAACACAAAATATTGTAATCTTTCGAAACAGAACAATTACTTTTTATATGTTGCTGTTTTAATAGTCTTAAGTTATTTTATGTAACATGTGCAGCACAATTTGTAGAATTTTTATTTTTCTGAATTTTGTTGTATAGGAACAGTGGCAGAAGGAGCTTCCATTATTCCAATTTCAGCTCAGTTGAAATATAATATTGAAGTTGTCTGTGAGTATATTGTAAAGAAAATTCCAGTACCTTTAAGAGACTTTACCTCAGAACCACGACTAATTGGTAAGTTCTTTAACGTACTGACTTTCAGTTGTTGACTCTTCCCACATTGTTGATTTACTTATAAAGGTGTATCTTTGCACTTAGGTGATAATATATACTACAATCTTAAGATACCTTTTTAAATTTTAAAATAGAGAATGAGTTTATGAAAACCAAGCACAACATGAACATGTCATTTTGAACCTAGTGAAAAATGAAATTGTGTATATTAAGATAAATTCGCCCTGGCCGGTTTGGCTCATCAGTTAAAAGTGTCAGCTTATGGTCCAGGGAGCTGACATTGGTTGCAGTGTGTCCCCAGCCCTGGTTGGGTCCTGCGGGAGGCAGCCACTCCCTTTCACGCAAATATCTCTCTCTCTCTCTCTCTCTCTTCCCAACTCTATCTGAATGAAAAATGGAAAAATGTCCTCAGGAGAGGATAAAAAAAAAGATAAATTTCAGGGTTGTTTTGGCAGTGGAAAATTGGATGAGAAACAGAATCCTGAATAAAATATGAACATTAACTTTTTTTTGTTGTTTATGATATACTGTGTGATCAAGATTGCAGTAATAAAGTATTTTTTATTTATGTTATCCAAAATGTGTTTATTGGGAAGGACCATCCTTCTGTAAGCCTTGCTTTTCCTCCTTTTGGCTGAGAGAGAACAGTGGAACAGTGGAACAAACTATTTGTGCATGGCTGAAGACGGTGGTGATTTTGTAGCACCCTGGGCATCTCACATCCATGAAGTAGGAATCGGGGCTCTGCACTTGGATCATTTTCTTGTGTTTCCTCTTCTCTTCTGGAGAGGGATAAAGGAAATCCTTAGTAAGAGGCATATTGTCGTGGCAAGGTTGTCAACCGCTGGAAAGGCATAAAGTATTCTTTTTATTTTCCCTTTCCCTCTTTTTACTAAGAATTTTACATTTTTACTAGTGAATGCTAAATATAACCAAGGACATACAAGGAAGAAATAAAATCAAGAAATTAATATTGAGAAGATGGCAGCGGGCAGGACCAGAGGGAGGGTTAGTGTGTGAGAGAGTGTGAGTGGACATGAAGGTGGATGACCAAACCCGAGCAGTGCAGGGACAACGGGGAGCAGAAGGTTCCTGCACTGGGACAGGAGCAGCTGCCTACCGAGGATTTGAAAGTGGAGGCAGAGTGAATCAGCATAAAATATTCTTAATGAGAGAGAATGTTTTAATCAGAAACAGAATTTTAGGACTAATATGCAAATGATTTTTATGTTTCTTTTATCCTAATTTTTCAGTACCAATATTTTTGTTACAAATGTTTCTTCTTTTTCCCCATTGACACCCTCCTCCCAATCCAGTCTCCCACCCCTGGCATTGTCTTTGTTCATGGTTACACATACATGCATATAAGTTTTTTGGTTTATCTCTTCCTTCTCTCCCTTCAACCCTCCTCATCTAGATTTGTCAGTTTGTACCCTGCTTCTGTGTCTCTTGGTCTGTTTTGTTCATCAGCTTGTTTTGTTCATTATATTCCACAAATAAGTGAGACCATGTGATATTTGTCTTTCTCTTATTTCACTTAACGGTAATACTCTCCAGGTCCCACCATCTGTATTGATTTTAGAGAGAAGGAGAAAGAGAGAGAGAAACATGGATGAGAGAGAACATCAATGGGCTGCCTCCTGCATGCCCCCTACTGGGGATCTGGCCCACAACCTGGGCATGTGCCCTGATCCGGAATCGAACCAAATAGCGACCTCTTGGTGCATGGGTTGACACTCAGCCACTGAGCCACACCGGCCAAGCTAGTTTGAAATTCTTCTTTTTTTTTTTTCTTTATTGATTTTAGAGAGAGAGGAAATGAAAGGGAGGGAGAGAGAGAGAGAGAGTGAGAAACATCAATAAGAGAGAACATCAATTGGCTGCTGCCTCCTAGAGGTGATTGAGCCCAAAATTTGGGCATATGTCCTGGCCAGGAATTGAACCAGTGACCTCTTGCTGCATGGGTCGATGCTTAACCTTTGAGCCACACCGGCCAGACTACTTTGAGACTGCTTTGGGATTCTTTATTTTTTTTTTAAATTAATATATTTATTTTTGTTACAGATGTTTCTTTTTTTTTCCCCTTCCCTCTTCCTCCTCACCCTATCCCCAGCTTTGTTGTCCTTGTCCATTGTTCATACATACATGCATATAAGTTCTGTGGTTTATCTTTTCCCCCACCACCCCCTCTTCTGGGGATTGTCAGTCTGTACCCCACTTCCAAGTCTCTGGGACTAACCCATTACTCAGACTGTTATGTTCATTATATTCCACAAATAAGTGACATCATATGATACTTGTCTTTCTCTCTTTGGCTTGTTTTGCTTAGGATGACACTTTCCAAATCCCTCCATGTTGTCTCAGAGGATATGAGGATCTGTCTTTCTTACAGCTGCATAATACTCTATTGTGTGTATGTACCACAGCTTTTTTATCCATTCGTCTACTGATGGACATTTGGGCTGTTTCCAGATCTTATTGTAAATAGTGCTGCTATGAATATGGGGGTACATAAATTCTTTCTGATTGGTGTTTCAGGCTTCTTAGGGTATATTCCTTCCTAGAAGTGGGATCACTGGGTCAAATGGAAGTTCAATTTTTACTTTTTTGAGGTAACACTATATTGTTTTCCATAGTGGCTGCATCAGTCTGCATTCCCACCAACAGTGTACTAGAGTCCCCTTTTCTCCACACCCTCGCCAACACTTGTTTGATGATTTGATGATGGCGGTCATTTTGACAGGTATGGGGTGATACCTCGTTGTTTGCATTTCTCTGATGATTAGTGATGTTGAGCATTTCTTCATATGTCTCTTAGCCATTTGTATGTCCTGTTTGGAGAGATGTCTATTTCGTTCCTCTGCCCATTTATTAATTGTATTCTTTGTCTCCCTTCTGTTGAGTTGTATGAGCACTCTCTATATATTGGAAATTAGCCCTTTATCTGTTATATCATTGGCAATGATGCTCTCCCATACAGTGTGTTGCCTTTCCATTTTGATGATTGTACGTTTTGCTGTGCAGAAGCTTTTGAATTTGATGTAGTCCCATGTGTTCATTTTCTCCTTTGTTTCTGTTGCCTTAGGTGATGTGTCAGTGAAAGTTCTGCTGTGTATAATGTCTGAAATTCTGTTGCCTACAGTTTCTTCTAGGGTTTTAATGTATTCTTGAGTCACATTTTATTCATTTTGAGTTTATTCTTGTATATGGTGTAAATTGATGGTTTCATTTTTTTTTTTTTTTTGCATGTAGCTGTCCAATTTTCCCAACACCATTTATTAAAGAGGCTGTCTTTACTCCACTGTTAAATATTAAATGAGCATATTGCCTGGTCCATTTATGGGTTCTGTGTTCTGTTCCATTGGTCCATATGCCTGTTCTTGTGCCAGTACCAGGCTGTTTTGATTACAGTGGCTTTGTACTATAACCTGAAATCTTGTCATGCGATCCCTCCTATTTTGTTCCTCTTTTTCAATAATGCTGTGGCTATTTAAGGTCTTTTTGGGTTTCATAGGAACTTTTGATGTATTTGTTCTAGTTCTGTGAAGTATATCGTTGGAATTTTGATGAGGATTGCTATAGATTGCTTTGGGTAGTATGGACATTTTAATGATATTGATTCTTGTGATCCATGAACAAGTTTTGTGTTTCCACTTTTTATATCTTTCTCTATTTCTTTTTTCATTGCCCAGTAGTTTTCTGCGAATAGGTCCTTTATTTCTTTGGTTAAGTTTATTCCTAGGTATCGTAATTTTTTTTGCCGCAGTGGTAAGTGGGATTGTTTTTTTAGTTTCTCTTTCTGTGAGTTCATCATTGGTGTATAAGAATGCCATCGATTTCTTGATGTTAATTTTGTATTCTGCTACTTTGCCAAATTCATTTGTTAAGTCTAGTAAACTTTTGATGGACTCTTTGGTATTTTCTCTGTATAGTATCATGTCATCTGCAAATAATGACAGTTTCACTTCCTCCTTTCCAATTGGGATCCCTTTTATTTTTTCTTCCTGTCTGATTGCTGTGGCTAAGACTTCCATTACTATGTTAAATAAGAGTGGCGAAAGTGGGCATCCTTGCCTTGTTCCTGTTCTTAAGGGAAATGCTTTTAGTTTTAACTCATTGAGTATGATGTTGGCTGTAGATCTTTAATATATTATGGCTTTTATTATGTCAAGATATGATTTCTCTATTCCCACATTGGTGAGCGTTGTTATCAAAAATGGATGCTAGATTTTGTCAGAGGCTTTTTCGGCATCTGTTGATCTGATCGTGTGGTTTTTATTCTTCATTTTATTTATGTGGTGTATCACTCTTATTGATTTGCAAATATTGTACCTGCCTTGCCACCCCTGGGATGAATCCCACTTGGTCATGGAGGATAATTTTTTTAGTGTATTGCTGGATCCGATTTGCTAGTATTTTGTTCAGGATTTTGGCATCTGTGTTCATCAGGGATATCGGCCTGTAGTTTTCTTTCTACATATCTTTTTCTGGTTTTGGAATTAGAATTATGCTGGCTTCCTAAAACAAGTTTGGAAGTCTTCTTCCTTCTTGAATTTTTTGAAATAGTTTGAGGAGAATGGGTATTAGTTCTTCTTTGAATGTTCGGTAAAACTCCCCCGTGAAGCCATCTGGGCCTGGGCTTTTATATGCTGGGAGAGTCTTGATTACATCTTCCTTAGTTATTACTGGTCTGTTCAAGTTTTCTCTCTTTTCCGGGTCCAATTTTGGGAGACTGTGTTTCTAGCAATTTTCGCTTAGATTGGTGAATTTGTTGGCATATAATTGTTCATAGTAGTTGTTAACGATCTTTTGTATTTTTGTGGTGTCAGTTGTTACTTCTCTTTCATTTCTGATTTTGTGTATGTGGGTTCTCTCTCTTTGTTTCTTGGTGAGTCTGTCTAAGTGTCCATTAATCTTGTTTATCTTTTAGAAAAACCAGCTCTTTGTTTCATTATCCTTATTTTGGGATTCTTAAAAGCAAGTTTGTCAGAGCCTTTTTCAAACCAACCTTCAGTTTTTTTAGATTTTCATCTAAGAGTACTGTGTTTTTTATTTTCTGTTTTTAAATCTCACCTGAGGATATTTTTGCATTCATCTTCAGATAGAGTAGGAGGGAGGGAAGGAGAGAGAGAGCTATGAGAAAGACACACTGATTGGTTGCCTCTTGCACAACCCTTCTAGCCGGGGCTGGAACCACAACTGAGGTACGTGCCCTTGACTGGAATCGAACCCAAGACTCTTTGGTCCATTCTAATTGCTGAACCCACTGGTCAGGGTGGGACTACTGTGTGTTTTTATGGGAAATGTTTTATTGGATGATTATGATGCAAATCTCTTAAGAATCACTGTTTTCCTTAAGGTTACATAGTCCTTGAATTATTTTGTAGTTTTCAAAATAAATTTTTTTTTTTTTATCTTCACCCGAGGATATTTTTCCATTTTTTGTACAGCTAGAGTGGGAGGGAGAGAGAGAGGAAGGGAGAGAGAGAGAGAAACATCGACGTGAAGGGACACATCGAGTGGCTGCCACCCGCACGACCAACCAGGACCAGGGACAAACTGCAACCGAAGTATGCGCCCTTAGTGGGAACCGAACCCGGGTCTCTCCGGACCGCAGGCCGACGCTCTAACCTCTGAGCCAAAGTGGCCAGGGCCAAAATAAATTTTTAATACAGAAGTCACATTAGATGTTTATAAAGAAAAATTTTTGTCCTACAACACTGTTGCAAACATGTTTTCCTGTAGCTCTTTTTGTTTATGTAATTATATAAACATATATTTATCTGTACATTGCATTTTAAATGAAAGTTGTATTGTACCCTGGAAAATAATTTTTTTCTTAATAGTATTTAGAGTCACTGCATTTGTTTGCCATAAAATACCACATTATGGGTATTTTAAACAACAACTTTATTTCATTACAGTTATGGAAACTTAAGATCAGGGTGTTGGCAGATTGGATTTCTCCAGAGGCCTCTTTTGGCTTGCAGGAGGCCATGTGATGTTTTGTCTTTACATGGTATTTCTTGCGCACGTGTGTGTGTATGTGAGTGAATCCTCACCCAAGGACCTTTTTTTTCATTGATTTTTAGAGTAAAAGAGAGGGAGGGAGATGGAAAGAGAGACAGAGAGAGAGAAACATTGATGTGAGAGAGACACATTGGTTGCTTCCCACACACTCACTGATTGGGACTTGGATCGAACCTGCAACCCAGGTACATGCCCTTAACTGCGAATCAGATCAGTGACCCTTTAGTGCACAGGCTGATGCTCTAACCACTGAACCACAATGGTCAGGACTCAATTATCTTTTAAAGGCCCTGCCTTCAAATTGTCATATTCTGAGTTATCTGAGGCTATGGGTGAGAACTCAACATGAATAGAGCCGGAATAGCTTGGACTAGAACAGTCATCCCTTCACATGATTACATGCATACAGTATTTATGTTTTTTTATAATAATTACATTGTACTTCATAGTATAAGTAGAGCATAACCATATCATGTAATGATTACTGTTTTCAATTTTCCTCTCTAATTAAGACTACAATAAGCATTGGAATATTTCCCCAAAAACTCAGCTCTAAGATATAGATCTTAAGTGGTTACTCTTGTAGAAAATATAATTGAATAAATATTTCTCTAATTAAAATAACAGGATGAGCTTCATGGTTTCCTCCCCTTTTTCCCTATTCCCTTCTCAGTTATTAGGTCTTTTGATGTCAATAAGCCTGGCTGTGAGGTTGATGACCTTAATGGTGGTGTGGCTGGTGGCAGTATTTTAAAAGGAGTATTAAAGGTAAACTGATTTTTAAACTCTTTAACCAGAACAAAAGTATAATAAAGTAAGATTAAAAACTAGCTTTTGTGTATATATAGTTTTGTTTACTATTTTATAGTTCAGTATGTCTCATCAAAGTTGTAGATTTTTTAAGGTGATTGGTTAATATTCGAGTGGTTGTCACTTTATACTGTCTTTCTATTTTCATCCTTTTTAAAGTAATGCTTGAAATTACTGTTTCAAGTAGAAATTTCTTTTCCCTGTAACAATCTACCGATTACAACTATTTATCCATAAATAGTAATTGTATTGTTCCAAGTATTTTAATTACTTACTTATATGTTTCAGGTGGGCCAGGAGATAGAAGTGAGACCTGGTATTGTTTCCAAAGATAGTGAAGGAAACCTTATGTGTAGACCAATCTTTTCCAAAATTGTATCACTCTTTGCAGAACAAAATGATCTTCAATATGCTGCTCCAGGGGGTCTAATTGGTACGAAACTTTCATCCATAAACTTTTATTGGTGTCTGGTCATCTTTTTGTTTGAAAAATATTATCTAAGACTGTCTCTAGTTAGTTATTTTAATTCAGTATGGAGGAGTATGATGTACAGATAGATGTATATAGGTAACTTTTTAATTTTAAAGTACTAAGTGACTTTATAAGTTTGTCTAAGAAATACTGTTATTCCCCTGGCCAGTTTGGCTCAGAGGTTGAGCAGCGCCCTGTGGACCAGAGAGTCCCGGGTTCAGTTTCCACTAGGGACATGTACCACCACAAAAAAAAAAAAAAGAAAGAAAGAAAGAAAGAAAGAGAAATACTTTTATGTATAAGGAATGTTTTGTTTTCTCATATAGAGTAAGTTCAGCAATAACTAAGTTTTATGATTTAGGATTTAATGTATATCACTGTACTCTTTTTTTTTAAATGTTTTTATTGATTTTTTTTTTAAAGAGGAAGGAAAAGGGAGAGAGAGAAACATTGATGTGAGAGTGAAGCATCAGTCAACTGCCTTTTCCATACAATACATACTGAGCCCAGGTTCCCAACTGGGAATCTAAGCAACAACCTTCTGGTGCACAGGACAGTGCCCAAACAACTGAGTCACACCTGCCAGCGCTGTCACTGTACTTTTATTTACATTATTTTTGTTTCCATTTTATGTAAATTTTTACAAATGTTAAGTTACCCCAAAATACTACTTATATCAATAAAATGGATTTTTTCTTACTATTAAGTTTACTATCAATATTCAGGAAAAGTTAAGATTTTGTGAGAGGTTCGGTTATCCTTTTCCTTAAGATTAAAGAAGAAAATGTTAGGTAAAGAAAAATTTTTTTTTTTTTAAGCCATATTTTAGAGTATTTTGAAATGTTATCTCATTTTGTGAGGCCCACAGTTGTAAATAATAATGAGGCCCCCTTTGTGCATTTTTAATGGTATCTCTCCTGTTTTTTAACAATTTGGTTGTGGTTTTCTTTTTGGTTGACAATATTAGAGGTATCCCCCACTTTTCTACCCTTACCCACCTCAGGCCTTTACCACATTATTGTGTGTGTCCATGGGCTATGCAAAGATGCATATAAGTTATTTGGTTACTCTCTTCCTGTCCTCTCCAATGCTTTTCCCTCGAAATCTATTCATCTGTTCCATGCATCCAAGCCTCTGGACCTGTTTTGTTGATTATACTCTACATATAAGTGGGATCATGTGATATTTATCATTCTCTGACTGGCTTATTTTATTTAACGAAATAATCTCCAGATCCATCCATGCTGTCACAAAGACTAAGGGTTCCTTCTCTATTATAATGGCATAGTATTCCATTGCATAAATGTGTGCCACATCTTTTTTATTCATTCATCTTCTGATGGGCACTTGGACTGTTTCCACTTCTTGGCTGTTATAAATAATGCTGCTATGAATGTGTATACATTTCTTTCTGATTGGTGTTTCAGGATTCTTAGGGTATATTCCCAGAAGTGGGATCACTGGATCAAAAGACAGTTACATTTTTAATTTTTTGAGGAATCTCCATACTGTTTTTTATGGAGGCTACATCACATCTTTGACTACACTTGTTTGATTTATTGATGGCAGCCAATAGAGTACATGTGAGGTAATACCTCATTGTCGTTTTAATTTGCATCTCCTGATTATTAGTGAGTTTGAACACTTTTACATGTCTGTTGGCCATCTGCATATCCTCTTTGAAGAAGTGTCTAATGAGGTCCTTTGCCCACTTTTTTAAATTGGATTTTTTGTCTTTCTAGTGTTGAGTTGTATAAGTTATTCTGGAAATTAATCCCTTATCACATATTATCATTGGCAGATATGTTCTCCCATACAGTGGGTTTCTTTTTTGTTTTTTTTTTTGTTTGTTTGTTTTGTTTTGTTTTTTTATCCTCACCCGAGGATATTTTTCCATTTTTTGTACAGATAGAGTGGGAGGGAGAGAGAGGAAGGGAGAGAGAGAGAGAAACATCAATGTGAAGGGACACATCGAGTGGCTGCCACCCACACGACCAACCAGGGCCGGGGACACACTGCAACTGGAGAATGTGCCCTTAGCGGGAACCGAACCCGTGTCTCTCCGGACCGCAGGCCGACGCTCTAACCGCTGAGCCAAACCGGCCAGGGCACTTTTTTGTTTTTTCTTATTGATTTTTGAGAAGATAAGTGGGGAGACAAAGAGAGGCATCAATTGGTTGCCTCCTGCACTCACCCTGACTGGTCTTGGAACCCACAACCAGTGTATGTGCCCTGACCAGAAATTGAACCTGCTGCAGTTTGTATACAGAATAATACTCCAACCCAATGAGCCAAAACAGCCAGGTTTCTGCTGCCATAGAGAGAAGCTTTTTAGTTTGATATAGTCCCTTTTGTTTATTTTTTCCTTTGTTTCCCTTGCCCCAGGTTATACGGAAAGAAATACTACATGAAATGTCTGAGATTTTACTGCCTATTTTTATTCTAGGACTTTATGGTTTTGTGACTTATATATGTCTACTTTCCATTTTTAGTTTATTCTTGTATATGGTGTGAGTTGGTGATCTAATTTCTTTTTTTCTTTTTTCTTTTTTTTATCCTCACCCGAGGACATTTCTCCATTTTTTGTTCAGATAGAGTGGGAGGGAGAGAGAGGAAGAGAGAAAGAGAGAAACATCAATGTGAAAGGGACACATCGAGTGGCTGCCACCCGCACGACCAACCAGGGCCGGGGATAAACTGCAGCCGAGGTACGTGCCCTTAGCGGGAACCGAACCCGGGTCTCTCTGTACCGCAGTTCGACGCTCCAACCGCTGAGCCAAACCGGCCAGGGCTGGTGATCTAATTTCATTATTTTGCATGTACCTGTCCAATTTTACCTACACCATTTATTGAAGGAACTCTTTTTACTCTATTTTATGCTCTTGCCGCTTGTGCCAATACCAGGCTAAGATTGTAGTGGCTTTATAGTTAGTTTCATATATGGTATTGTCATCCTTTCAACTTTGCTCTTTTATTTCTCATGATTGCTAAGGCTATTCAGTCTCTTTTATAGTTACATACAAATTTTTGGATTATTTCTTTTACATCTTTAAATATGCTATTGGTATTTTAATAAGGATTGCATTGAATCTATAGATTTGTTTGAGTAGTATACACAATTTAATGATGTTAATTCTTCTAGTCCTTGACATGGTATATTTGTCCACTTGTTTGTATTTTCCTGTTTTCTTTCTTCAATGTCTTACAGTTTTCCGAGTATAGGTCTTTTTCCTCCTCAATTAAGTTTATTCCTAGGTATCTTCTTTATTATTGTGGCAATTGGTAAATGGATTGTGTTTTTACTTTTTCTTTCCAAGACTTCATTATTAGTGTATAAAACCTTTGCCTTCTATGTCTGGATGTTAATTTTGTAGCCTGAAACTTTGCCATATTCATTTATTAAATCTAGTAGTTCTTTGGTAAAGTCTTAAGGCTTTTCTGTGTACAATAGTATGTCATTTAGGAGGACAGTTTTACTTTTACCTTTACAATTTTGATATATATATATTTTTTATCCTCAACTGAAGATATTTTTCTATTTATCTTCAGGTAGAGAGAGAGAAAGAAAGGGAGAAAGAGATAAACATCAACGTGAGAGGGACACCTCAGCTGGTTGCCTCCCTCATGACCCTGACCAGGGCCAGGGATGAACTGCAACCTAGGTACATGCCTGTGGCTGAAACTGAACCCAGGACTCATTGGTTCACAGGCCAACACTATCACTGAGCCAAACTAGCCAGGACAATTTTGATACATTTTATTTTATTTTCTTGTCTTGTCACGTCATATCACATCACTTGGCTTGAGTTGACTCAGACCAGAACTTCCAGAATTGTAGTGAGAAAGAGTGCAGAATCCCTGTCTTGTTCCTGACCTTTAAGGAAACACTTTTAGTTTTTGCCCTTTGAGTATGATGTTGGCTGTAGATTTTTCACATATGGCCTTTTTTATGTTGAAGTATGATCCCTCCATTTTTACTTTGTTGAGAGTTTTTATCTTAAATGGGTGCTGAATTTTGTCAAATGCTTTCTGGGTTAATGTGATTTCTTAATTTTGTTTTTGCAGTGTTTCATGTTTATTGATATATGGGTATTGTACCAGACTTGCATTCCCGGAATACATCCCACTTGGTCATGGTGTACCATCATTCTTAATGCATTGCTGGATCTGGTTAGTTAATATTTGTTTAGGACTTTAACATCTATGTTCATCAGAGATATTGATCTATAATTTTCTTTCTTTCTTGTTCTTCATCTGGTTTTAGAAGAAAAATGCTGATTTCATTAAAAAACAGAAGTCTTGCCCTGGCCAGTTTTGCTCAGTGGTTAGAGCGTCAGCCTGCAGTCCAGAGAGACCTGGGTTCAGTTTCCGCTAAGGGCACGTACCTCAGTTGCAGTTTGTCCCCGGCTCTGGTTGGGTTGTGCAGGTGGCAACCACTAGATGTGTCCCTTTCACATCAATGTTTCTCTATCTCTCTCTCTCTCTCCCTCCCACTATATCTGAATAAAAAAATGTGTTCGGATGAGGATTAAAAAAAAAAGTCTTTCTTCCTTTTGAATTTTTCGGAATACTTGGAAACGGATTGATATTAGTCCTTCTTTGACTGTTCGGTAAAATTCACCTAGGAAGCCATTTGGGTCCAGGATGTTTGATGATGATGATTATTATTATTATTATATTGTTTTAATTTTCTTATTATCTCTCTATTCAGGTTTTTTTTTTAATTAATTAATTTATTTTTGTTACAGATGTTTCCCTTTTCACTCTCTGATTCCCCCCTCCACCACCCTGTCCCTACCTTTCTTATCCATGTCCATTGTTCATACATACATGCACATAAGTTCTGTGGTTTATCTCTCCCCCCCCAATCTCCCCTTCAGGAGATTGTCAGTCTGTACCCCACTTCCACACTGCCCCATTCCTCAGACTGTTATGTTTGTTATATTGCACAAATAAGTGAG